CATTTACCGGATGTTCCTCCATCATGCGGCCTGGGCCCACCTCTGGTCTTGTCTCTGGTGGCGCTGTTCCCTGGTGGCGCTGTATCCACAGGGGCGTCGTTGGCTTCGATATAAATAATCGAGGTCTTTAGGCGCTTGATAGTCCCTCACTCAGAATAAACGCATTTATGGCGCCACAAATGATACTTTTTTATCCATATTCACACATGAGTTGTTTCCGTTTAATTTCTGAAATCACAACAGCATGACAATAGTAACAAACTAAAATAGTAATGAAAATATTAATAATAACAATAATGATAACGATAAAAAGTTGAAGATAATAATAATAGTAATTATGATAATAACAATGATAAAAGTAATAATGATAGTGATAATAATGATAATAATAATAATAATAATAATAATGATAATAACAATGCATAATAATAATAATGATATTGATGATAATAATAATAATAAAATATTGACAAAATAATATTGATAATAAATGATAATAGTGATAAAGATAATAATATGCACTAAAATGATAGTAATTGAATAATAATCATGATAGTTATGATAATAATGCTAATAGTAATAATCATGATGAAACAATAACAATAATGATAATAATGATAAAAATAAAATGCTAATAATGATAATGAACATATAGTAATGACTAAGGTAATGATGGTGATAATAATAATAGAATGATAACAAAAAAATGATGATGGAGATGATGATGATAATAAAAATACTGATAATAAGGATGATGATATGACGATGGTAATGATATTTGTGTTAAAATTGATTATCTTAATAATGATAACAACAAAAACAACAGCAATAATATTGATGATAACGATAATAAACAGTAATAAGTTTTTGAGTTATCCTGCTAACCATCCTGGATCCAGATCATTTTCCGGATAACTACCAAAATTTAATAGCATCTTGGTTGGTCTAAGACACACCTCTGGTAGAAAAAAAATCATAAAAATCTGTTCATACCTTTGAATTTATCTTGCTAACCATCTTGGATCCAGATCACTTCCCGGATCACTACCAAAATTTAATGGCATCTTAGTTGGGCCAGGACACACCACGTAAAAAAATCATTTAAAATTTGTCCTTAACTCTCTGAGTTATACTGCTAACCATCTAACCAACAAACTAACCAACGCTACCAAAGACGTAACCTCCTTGGCCGAGGTAATAATACTGTCAACCATGATCAAAGCTGAAGTAAGAATGACAAAGTGCACATATCTATAGCTTTGGAATAAGTGCTAAATATACTTTATGGTATGTTAGGTAACAAAATCGCAGAAATAGTGCATCTTGTTCAATACAGGCCTCTAAGTTTCTCCTGTGATAGCTGGAGAAAACTATATTGCGTCAGTGGGTAATATTTAGCCGCAACATCGCTGCAAAATGTAGGTCTTGTTACGGAGCGCCGTGACCCGACAGCCATTTACTCTGGATTGTACGGTCTTCGCGTTCTGTAGTTTCTGGAGTGTATCTAGCGAACGCAAGGCTGCAATAGCTCAAGGTTCGCACCTTGCAAATAGCCTGTGATCAGGTGTTGGGTACAATCCTGCTCTGCAGAAGCATTATAATTTTGAAAATTAGATAGAAGTTCTAAATAGTTTATGCAAAATGCATATGAACTGCATTAATTGTTGTAGTGAAAGAGACATAAAATGAGCTAATATATTTGCACAATTATATAACTCAGGCATTCAGGCTATCATATAATCAGTTTAATAACTGAGTGTTCCATTTTGAGACATGCTTACACAATTTTTATATAATTTCATTTTGATTCCTTTTGACACATATTAGCACACTGCCCCCTTCTTCTTCTTCTTCTTCTTCTTCTTCTTCTTCTTCTTCTTCTTCTTCTTCTTCTTCTTCTTCTTCTTCTTCTCTCTCTCTTTCTCTCTCTCTCTCTCTGAAATCGGGTTCATGTCTGTAGTCAGATGGCAAATACGGGTAGCTTTACTGATAAAATGTTAACTGAATTTATGAACTGATGAAATATTTTGTTGGTCAGTTGATTGGTAAGATATACTTATTAACCTCTGTAACTTGCTCTAAATAATATTCTTGAATTTGCAGAGTAATATGTAGCCAGCAAACCCGTACCCTGTGTGGTATTGTAGCGAGTTTCCCATTCTACATTAATCAGGAATTTATTCCCGAAGCACAAAATCATTAAACAGTCGCTATTCACATTTAACAAATCACGCTCGAGTTAGTCTTCGTGTAAGCAATTTTCAACTCATCATCTCTCAGTTACACATCAGTTCGCTAGAAATGTGAATTCATGCTTTTTGTAGTATCTCATAATCCAACAATGTGCTGAGCCAATTACAACTTACAAAACGATAGTGTTTATAACGTTAACGGCTCAATTGACTGAAAGTGTTTCTGTGATACTTGGGGAGAGACAACGCCTTTCTCTCTCTCTCTCTCTCTCTCTCACACACACACACACACACACACACACACACAC